CATCAATTATGAGCAAAGATACGTTATATATTCATATGCGTCCTCCTTCTAAGTGAAGCGCATGCGCTAGCTATTTAACTTCTTCGTTTAGTATATTCCATTCTCTTCTCAACCAGTACTGTTCCAGCGCTAATTCTATTGGCCCATGGTAACCAATTACATAAATTTTAATTTATTACTGGCCAACATATATGACGCAAAGTCTTATATTCCAATGAAAATATTTCTATCTCATAGTTGGCTCACACGCTTCAATTGCCGATATACTACAGCTCGTCGGCAAATATTACAAGCCGCAATGTACAAGATGCTCGTGCAACATAACCTTATGTGTCAGTTGCTACGTATAAAAGTATATGATGCAATTTAAAATAAGACGACCTGTACATCACGGGATCTTAGCCCAAATCCAGTGTTAATTTTATTCTTTAACCACCGAATACATAAAGACAGTTAGAGGCTGTTCTGAACTCTCTTGCGTTTTGGTTAACGACGACCCTTCGGGATAATTTTTAATGTTCAGTGTGGAAAACATGTCTAGGTTAGAGTTCACCAAGATCAGATAGAAAGCTTAAAATCTAATCGCTGTTCAGCTTGTCGGTAAATACGGCGTGTATAATGTTCTCGAGTGACATAACCTCCATGTGTCATACGCTATGTGAACAAATTTACATGTCGCAAGTTAAAATTTGTCATCTCGCGCATTGCAGGACCTTAGTTCAAGTTCAATGTTAATTTTTTATACTCCAACTATCGAACGTATAAGAATAGTTACTGTATCATATGAACTCTCCTGCTTCCTAGATCAACGACAACTCTTCGGAATAAATTTTAGTGCCATATAACATAGTTTATTTTAATTCATGGAACTACAATGGTTATTTTGATATCGCTAACATATTTTAATCTACTCTAATTCACGGTATCTTATCTACACGTTAGAAGATTTAAAACTTGCGCCAAAGGTGGCAATATTGCGTCACTAACCTGGAAAAAAAAAAAAAAAAAAGAAACCAATCGCATAACTATCTGCCTCTGATTGGCCCCTATTCTGTGTGTGAAGAAGTTTCATTCCTATAATAGTCTCCTACTTTCAGCTGAGTGACACATAACCTTCTTTTTTACTCAATACGTTAAAATGAACTTTCATGTATCTTCTATAGATTAAAAGCTCCCTAGTTTGTTCATTATATCTTATCTTATGCTAAGTCGAATGATTTAAAGCATTTGCCTAATGAAAATAATCGTACTATATCACAGATTTGTCTATACTTCTTAACATAATCTATATC